GGACAATATTCTTGATATCCTCCCTCAGCTCATTTAGTCTTTGCTCATTGGTGTTCAAGGCCTTAAACTTGTTCCTGAGATGGTTTTGAAATGCGAGTGGGATAGACTTAAGGTCAAATTTTGGTTTCTGTGGGTTTGATTTAATTTGCTTCAGCTTAAACTTGCATAGGTGGTCTGATTCACAATCAGCTGATATTTTCTCCAGTGATTCTTTCCACAGATGTAATCTATTTGATTCCTATGCATACCATCAAGTGACATCCATGTGTATAGCCTGCGCTTGTGTTTCTTATAAAAGGTATTTAGATGCACCTTATTCTCTAGCCTGACAATGTTGCTTTCCATTACTCTGGTGAGGTACTGCTAAATTGACTACAATTCAGTGATCCTATGAATAATAGATCATTTTGCCCTTAGTTACACCATCTTCACAAGCTCCACCATGCTTGCAGCCATTGTCACAATCACCATATCAATCCGTTTCAGCGAAGGTCTTGTCTTCATCTCTTTCTCTGACCCTCCACCTTTCCCAGCATGATGTCCTTTCCAAGGGCTAGCTCCTCCTGACAACATACCCAAAGCATATGAGAGGAAGTTTCCTTATCTTTAACTCTAAGGATCACCCTGGTTTCACATCCTCTAAAGTGGAGGTGTTTGTTCTTTTGGCAGTCAATGGAATATTCAGTACTCAAACACCACAATTCAAAGACATTGTTTCTTCTTTGGTCTTCCTTATTCATTGTCCAACTATCAGATGCATAGGAAGCAACTAAAAATATCGTGGCTTGGATTAGGCACAGAGGAATTGCCTATACCATTTTGTGAAAGCTATTCTATTCCAGAAATAGAAATTTGTGGAGCAGATACCTGAACAACAAATTAAAGTCCTGTTTATATTATTAACACTAAGTGTGTGCACAGGCCTGACAGAAATGACTGCTCTAGACCCAACTATTTGCCTTCAGTCTCTTAAAATATTATGTCATTTTCTTTCTCAAACTTCTCATCTTGGGAATTGTATGTATGCTTAAAGTCCTTTGATCTAAGTCTAAAATAATTCCTATTTTTGCTTTTAATTTTTTAAAAAAATAAAACAGATTTCTCTGAGATGTTTTTGTTATGTACCACTGAGTCATCTGTGACTCACAGTGACCCCATGTACACTGCCCTATCCTGAACCATTCTGTCTCTGATACACCTACCCCCATTACCCCAGTTATGGTGCTAATCTATCTTATCCAGAGTCTTCCTCTCCTGTGCAGTCCGTCCACCATTCCAAGCATGATGCTCTTCTCCGAGGCCTGGTCCCTCCTGGCCACATGCCCAAAGTATGTGAGATGGAGCTTCAAAATCTTTGCCTCCATTGGAATAGATGAAAGAAAAAGCTGCCTAAAAGCAATATATGATTAGGCACTACACATACAACAACAGGTATATCATTACAAAGAGGACTAGGGTGGGGGCAGGGGGCAGGGGAGGTGCAACAATGAATGAATTAAAAAATATAAACTGGAGGAGGGGGACAGAAGGGAGAGGGGTTAAAATGTGCAACAATGAATGAATGAAAATCTAACTTCTCTGTAAACATTTGTTGAAATGTTGTTGTTGTTGTTATGTGCTGTCGAGTCGCCTGCGACTCATAGCGACCGTATGTACAACAGCCCTAAACTACGTTCTGTCCTGTGCCAATTGCACTGTCTCTGACATTCCCATCCCAATTATCCCAGTCACTGAATCAATCCACCTCATAGAGGGCCTTCCTCTCCTGCGCTGTCCCTCCACCCTACCAAGCAT